TACACCTCCGAGTGGCCTATGTTTTGCCGGAGTGTTGATTAATTTTCGTTTCGGCAAATTTCAGGTGCTCGATATGTCCTGTTTTAGCAAAGGTCATGCCGGAATTTTTCATGAATTTTGGCATGACTTGTGCTAGAATATGTAGGAAATATCGAGTGGACTGTATTTTCTAGAAAGATAATTAAACAATATTTTGGGTTGACTTTAAGTCTGTCGAGGCCGGAGAATCCCGACTGTTGTCGTGGGGTGTAATGCACTAAGGGAACAAGAAAAGACTCGACAGATCGATAGTCAACCCGCGATGAATAATAATGATTTAATTTGGGTTTTTTAGTACATATATTTAATTGTACAAGTTTTATATTTGTATGAACATAGGAAATGTCGTACTCGGACGACGAAAGTCTCCCGGGGGAGTGCGACTGGTGCCACGACGACCGGGGTTTCTGCGACAGGCCTCACCTGGACGAAGCTCGGCGCTTCAACATTAAGCTCGAGGAGGCCTTCGATTGTGATACGGTAAGCTACGACGCAAAATGTTTTTTTGTAATTAAGCTCGACTTCTACTACTTCAACGTGTAATTTTCGTCTTTTACAATTCGACTAGCTTATCCCATGCCATGCAAGACGCTATGTCTTGGAGAGGATGGGTTTTGAAGATCATGAGAGGAATGAAAACAAAGAAAATTAACATAAGGACCCATCATGGTATGAATCTTGAGGTAAATCTATACAATTCTGAGAGCGTATCCTTTTTTGGTTACCCGAGTTGGGAAGCACTTTGCAAGATGTATGATTTTCAAGAGGGTATGTTTGTCACCATGGATCTTGGTGATCCTGACATCGACCAAGACAATTTGGACATTTGGGTCCTTATTAATACGCTTCCAATTCTATCGCTATGTGAGTTTCTCAAACATAGTTATTAACTAATTTATACTGTTCATTTCAAAATAGTTGACAATTTATTTCCATTGACAGCTTATTTTCATTGTTCAAACAATGTGCGGAATATGGTAGACAGAATCTACTATACCGATGGCTCTGAGTTAACTTATCAGGAGAAAAATCATCTGGCCGCATTTTATAATATCTATAATAAAACTCCTCCACATTATGGTCAATACGTGCCACTAGTGCACGTGTTGAACTACGGTAACATCCATGGAGATGCCATGGTAAGATTTTTTTACTATTACGACATCCATGCATCTTTTGCATAAATTCTTTTAAAACTTAACTACATTGCTAATTGCGAAGTTATTACTATGTTTTTTAACAGAAAATCTCGGATGATTGTGTGCCTCATCTGATGTATCAGAATGGCCGCCTTCATGTTTTGAACATACAGCCAGGTCGTCCTACGAATCTCACCTGTCCATACTGGATTTCTAAAACCGGTGAACACATGATAATCAAAGAATAGAAAAATGTATGGACAGTCGTAAGAAGGTTCTTCGAAGCAACATTGTGCGAAAGGCAAGAATTGAAGACAGGATAATCTCCATTCTCCATAATGGAGAGTCAGGGGCTATCTTGTTTTATGCTATTTTACCTAAGAGAATACAGTAGGTCTTAAGAGAATGTAGTAGGTCCTAAGAGGTATAATGTTTATTATGTGGTACAATGTGTTAGAGTTGATGATGAGGAGTAGTTGTGATTATGACTAGTGACCAACTTGTTATGTGATGTCTCATTGATGAAAACGATGATCATGAGGAGGTGTTATATGACAATGATGTATTATGATGATAAGTTGTTAATGATATGATGATGATGATGATGATGTTGATGATATTTATTATATCATTGGATGAAAGAACAATATGATGTAATAACTCATTATGATGTAAAAGACAATCTCTAAATTGCTGTTGTATGAAAACTTGTATAAAGGTGTATGAATGCAACATGAAATAAAAAAGAAATAAAATATGGAATAATAGTAGTAGCGCAGGCTGGTAGAAGCGCTACTATTAATTACCAGTAGCGCTGCTTGGGGAAAGCGCTACTACTAAGTCGATATAGCAGTAGCGTGGGTTGACCCACGCTACTGCTAACCTTTAGCTGTAGCGTCGTACCAGTAGCGCTTCCACCCGCGCTACTGATAGGCCTAAAACCCGCGCTGCCGCTAGGCTTTTCCCTAGTAGTGATTTCCTTGTTTCTTGCCCACGCAAACCTTGAAGCACTTCTAGGTTAGGCTAAGCGGGAATAGTTGATTCGACTGTTTTTCGGGAGCCAATCTCTGGCGACCGGCGAGCCATGTGTGGCTCTCGCCTACATGCCTAGGGAAGCCTGGGAAACAAATGTCTCATTTTGAATCTGACTTAACTCCCACCCCTCTATCGCCTCACTGTCGGAACACATTCACACATCATTCTCTCATCCTTCATTCGGTGTCTTTGATGGCCTCTCCAACTCCACGGTGCCCCGGTCACATTTCCACTGACCCCGAGAACCACAACCACTGGGTCGATGCTTGGCAGCGGGAGGCGTTGACCATAGTTAGTTGCTTAGGGCTCTGAAGGTCCCATCCCCCTTTTGCACCAGGCCACGGTCCACGGCCATCGACCACCCATCCATGTTCAATTCTCGTACCTACAGCGCTCGGCAGTTCTTTCATGGCGGCGGCGTGGATGGGTTTTGCAGGTGCAAGCACAACGGCTTTGGCCGAGGTGGGGATTCTCACTCCCCCGTGAGGGTTTTCTTCCCTCACCCTGGCCCAATCCTGTGGTACCCCGGCCATTGTGGCCAATATGTCGGTTGTTGTAGTCGATACGGTGAATGCGCCAACGGTGATGACTACCATGGCAATGGTAGGGTCATCAGTTGCAGTCGTCGGCACATTCATGGCGGCCTAGGTGTTGTTGCCGCAAAGGTTTGGACTATCGACATATGTTCCACCTCCACGTCCACCTCCGGCAGCACCCACTCCAGCGCAGGCGGTAAGTACAGAACTCTCTTCCACAAATTTGATTTTTGGGGCGGTTCGGGTTTCTTGGCAGTTGCTTCGATTCAATTTGATTCACCCCTAGTCGATTCGATCCAAGCGGTGATGAATGTCATAAGTATACCATTGTTCCTATCATCAACGCCTCAACGCCATGCGCTAGACCCTCTCCAGTTTTGTTGCGGCACGCCAGTCGCCCGCCGAGGACTTTCGCTGCGCAGGCTCCCGCACCCATTGATCAGGTTGGGTGTTCGGGTTACCCGAATAATTTGGGTTGGGTAATTCGGGTTTTTGAAATTTCAGGTTTTCAAAACTAACACCCGAAATTTGACCCAAAAAAAGGCCAAAAATCTGGGCACCCAAAAATCCGGGTTCAGGTTTTCCCGATTTACCCGAATAGACTGTTGTGTCCACTTCCTAGTAGAAAAGGGCAGCGCAGTAGGCTACGCTAGAAGCCAAGACGAGGTCGCCGGTGATATTCGTGCACGCTTTAGGCTGCTAGGGGAACCAGAGGAAAGGTTGCCATCAAAGAAGGTCGAGACGGTGACGGCATCTGCGGTGTTCAAGAAGGTTTGCGCTTGTATGAGCGGTAACATGTAGAAGCAGACAAATGGGAGAGGAGCTGGCGCAACCCAGCGACAGTGAGCCACATGGGTAGGTACCCTACGCCGGAGAGCTTGATGTCGACAAGGAGTACGACCTAGTGGCGGCGATAGCCTCAGGCGCCTAGGCGGCGAGTCATGGTGGGGAAGATGACGACTCAAGGCTGGATTGATGGGAATGGGTGGGGGTCGCGAGATCAACTACATTGGCGGCTGGATCGATGGAATGGTGGGGGTCAAGACTGTATGGTTGGTCAAGGACACATGATTATTGTGCTAGGCTTGTGCTAGACTAAAAGGAGGCGTGATTTTTCTACTGTGCTATTTCGAGCTATTCGGGTACTTTTGATACCATGGTTAATAACCCAAGTTTTCTGAATAAATTTCGGGTTTTTAGAGTTGATACTTGGAATGGTTATCAGGTTTTTCGGGTTCGGGGTTTGGGTTTCATGCCCAGGCTGACCCGCTGATCCATCGCTAGTCCTCGCCCCAATTGTCGTGGACGGGTGGGAAGAAGTTGCCCCGAGAAATGCCTCATCGCCTCCTTCACTGGAGTCTGGCCGGGCTTCGCCAGCGGCACCTCAGGCGGCGGTGAGACGTGGGAGAAGAGAGGAGGAAGGCGGCAACGCAAGGCAGTGGCGGAGACAGGGGGCCTACCCCCTCCCCCCCCCCCTAACACCATGATTTGCATGTAATTTCCTGAACATTTGCAAAATTAGTAATAATTTGCTGCTAAAAATCTATTTTTCAACACTTTGGCCCTCCCCAGCCTGTTTTAGTAGCACTTGGCCTCCCTGATACATATTTTCTGGCTCCGCCACTGACGCAAGGCAGGGGATCGGCCCCCCGTGTTTTCAGAGGAGGGCGACGCAGGGGTTACTTCGTCGGCTCCAAAGAACATTCATCCTAGTTCCATATATTTTTGTCCCCTTTTTTCTGCTTATTAATTTTGTCACAATTGCAGGCTGGAATTAGACCATAGCTCGAAAGAGACACCGGTAGCTTTCCTACTCGGTTCTGACTACCACCATTCCCCGACAGCGACGGTTAGCACTCCCGCTCCCCAACGGCAGTTTAAAAACACGCGCCAAAAAGGCTCCATCCATCCCATGCTTCCTTCCCGCGCTAACTTTAACAACTTCCTTGGCCTCCTCCGGGAAGCAAGGCCTTCCGTCCACTCCACCCTTCCCCCACCTCCCGTCTTCTCATCCCATCTCCTCCTCTCCTCCTCCACTTCTTCCCTCCTCATTCTGCGCCCCACCCCAGCCCACCACCGCCGAAGCTCTCTCCATCTCCGCGGGGCTCTCCGGCGCACCCCCTCGTGCCTCGGGGACCCCAATCCGCCGCCGACACCACGATCGATCCATCCATCCATCACACCTGCCTAGATCTCCCGGACGCACCTGCTCGTGACTCTCGCCTGAGCAGCTAGCTTGGCAGCTCGCTTGATGGAGGAGGAGCTGAGCCAAATGGAGCCCGGCACCAAGGTGACGCTGCAGCGGCAGGCGTCGTCGGGGTCCCTGACGCAGGGCCCGTCGGGGGAGCTCCGGCGGCAGACGTCGCTGGAGTCGTCCCCCCGCTCGGGGCGCGGCGGGAACCGGCACCTGTTCGGGCGGCAGTCGTCCATGGACCCCAACCGGCGGCGCGGCCGGAGCCAGAGCCCCGTGGGCTCCCAGGCCGACCAGGACCTCGCCGTGCCGGACAACCTCGATTCCACCATGCAGCTGCTCTTCCTCGCCTGCCAGGGCGACGCGCCCGGCGTCGAGGCGCTGCTCCACGGCGGCGTCGACGTCAACAGCATCAACCTCGACGGCCGCACCGCGCTGCACGTCGCTGCCTGCGAGGGCCAGCGCGAGGTCGTCAGCGTGCTGCTCGACTGGCAGGCCAACATCGACGCCCGCGACCGATGGGGCAGCACGGTCAGTCATCATCCACCATTCGACCCACGTAATTTTTTTCATTTCATTGGCATCAGATGATCGATGTCTCACCGGTTTCTCTGATCATGTATATGCAGGCGGTGGCCGATTCCAAGTGTTACGGCCACATGGACATCTACGATCTTCTGAAATCTCATGGTGGAAAGGCCCCGGTATATATCTGTCTTTCCATCACATCAACTGTCTCTTTGATTTGTATGATCGATGGATTCATGGTTCATGTGCTGGTCTCTGTCTTTGAACGTCTGTAATTTGCAGAGAAACAGGAGGACGCCGATGATGGTGTCGAACCCCGGGGAGATACCGGAGTACGAGTTGAACCCCGGCGAGCTCCAGTTCCGGAAAGGGGACGAAGTGCTCAAGGTAGTGCAATTTGTTTTTCTTTCCATTTTCTTTTTAGATAACAGAAATATCATGAAGCTAGTGAAAAAATAAGAGGGGAAATTAACGGTGTGCGTGTCGAACAGGGCACGTACCAAGTTGCAAAATGGAACGGAACCAAGGTCTCCGTTAAAATAGTCGACAGAGAAACCTACTCCGATCAGGAAGCCATGTGAGATGCAGATCCCAATCCTCAATTCTTCACCCTAAAGAGCCCAACCAATTTATTTATCTGACAATCATGTTTTTTTTCATTTGTTACAGAAACTCTTTCAGGCATGAGCTGACGGTATTCGAGAAGGTCCGGCACCCGAATGTCGTCCAGTTCATCGGAGCCGTCACGCAGAACATACCCATGATGATTGTTTCTGAATACCATGCAAATGTATTAAGAATCTCAAAATTAGACTGTTACTTAAGCCATTATCTAGCTTACATACCTATATCCTTGGATGGACTAAGTCATGCAGTTATTCTGAAACACAGGCTGATTTAGGAAGCCTTATTCAGAGGAAAGGAAGGCTGAATGGCCACAAGGTGCTGAGATATGCCCTTGACATTGCCAGGTATATCTACTGATCCCAAGAGAAGATCAATCTTTGAAAACTGAAACATGTGTCATATTGTTCTTCATTCGACAAAAGACGAGGCTCCATGCCGAAATGTGCATCAGTGCTAATGATCTTATTTGTCTTCGCTGCGGCTGACTCTGGATGTTCAGGGGCATGACTTATCTGCATCAGTGCAAGCCAGACCCCATCATCCACTGCGACCTAAAGCCAAAGTAAGATGAGGAAATGAAGCAACCTGGTCTTTTGTCTGTTCTCTTGCTTGCATTTGCTTGGAAGCGTAAATACGCCGCGCATATTCTGTTAATGCAACAAAATAAATTTGTCATGGTTGTGCCGTACTTTACTATTTGAATCTTGGTAAGGTGCCAGAAATATCTTCCTGGATAATGGAGGCCTAATGAAGGTCGGAGGGTTCGGGCTGATGAGGCTGTCCAAGATGGCTCCTGACAAGGTGAAACTGATGAACCACGAGGCCATCGTCCACACCTCCAGTAAGCCCACTCTCAGCAACAAAATATAAACGAGGATCATTTCGCTGACAAACTCAATCGCGCTCTTCTGTAACCTAGGTTACTACACTGCGCCTGAGATGCACAGAAACGAGGTGTTTGACATGAGCGTCGACGCGTACGCATTCGGCTTCATCCTTTACGAGGTCAGTACAGCTTTCTGTTCCATGTGCGGGTACTCTGCGATGTGCACAAAGCAGAGCAGAGAACATTACCGGCTGGGTTTCAGACTTGATAACTTAATCGTCCCTATGATCATCAACTCTGATCTCTTTTGGTCTGACTGGATGTGATCGTCAGATGGTTGAAGGACTGCCCAACATGGAATCCACAACCGTCATAGCCCGATGCGAGGGGATGCGGCCGTCGCTGAAGAACAAGCTCAAGGGGTACCCTTCAGACTTCAAAGGGTGAGTTATCTTGTGAATATGAAAACACCTTTTAAGTTCACTAGACCAGAACCAGCACCACAATGAGCCAGAAACCCCTGTTCTTCTACCCTGGGTGCATGCAAAAATGCGATGCAGGCTGATCGAGGAGTGCTGGGAGACGCACCCGATGGCGCGGCCGACCTTCTCGGAGATGATCGTCCGGCTGGACAAGATCTACGCGCACTGCATGAAGCACGGGGCCTGGAAGGAGTCGCTCAAGATCTGGTCAGTATCCCGGCGACTTGAGCGTTTCAGGCTCAACATCCGAAAAAGGACGGTATTACTACTGTCCGGTTATCTGAACACTGAATGATTTTGCTCTCTGCGTTTTGTCCGGCAGGAAATGACACGGGCAGGTCTCTGTGTACGTACGTAGGCGAACGCGTACCACGTCCCTGTGTACGTACGTCGCTTCTTCTCTGGGTACTGATGGAGCTGGAGGATCGCCGTATCCACGTCCCTGTCATACATACTGTAAAAGATATCTGAGAGATGACACAACATGTATACAGTATACGGTCTTTTTTTAATTTTTGCTGCTGTACTGTCGAACAAAGAGTCTGAATACAACAATGATGCTCTACCGTAGAAGCTAGGATATATCATGATGTATGTTTATGCTGTCACTGTCTTGAGAAATATGGCTTTCGTTATCATGTGACTGGCGTGACTAATTGCTACCCATGGTTGGGTTGTTTGTGTGATTTTTTGCCATGTGATGTTTGGTGACTCGAATCCGTCACATGTAGGTTGTGAACTTTGAACCGATCACCGAAGAACTGTTCCCACGTATTTTGAATGGGAGAATAGTTGTATGTTTTCCACTTACAAAACATAGGATACCTAATGCGCCTCGATGCGCTAGTTCATCCTAATTAGGGCTGGACCAAAACCTCATAGCTTGCGAGCTTAACGAGCCCTCGATAATTCGGCTCGTTAAGCTCATAGCTCGCTTCTTAATGAACAAAATCAATTATCGATTTCAGCTCGTTAAGCTCGATAGTAACAACACATTACATATTTTTGTCTTATATGACACAATTTTCATAGCACCTCAGCCCATTTGTTTAATATATAATCTACATAGGAGACAACAAACTAGTGCATTTCTTTTTGTAGTCACCATCTTCCTTCTTAAAAACCACACCTATACACTCATCTTGTAGACCGTAACACATCGGAATCTATTAATAAGCGCTCACGAGCTTAACGAGCCTCAAACGAACCGAGCTGAGGAGGGTTTTCTGCTTGTTAAGCTTAACGAGCTTAATGAGCCGAGTCTTGGAGCATCTCCAGCCGTTGGCACCCCCAAGAACATCATCGAACCAAAAAAGTTGGTGTCTTGGGGGTCATCCGGCGAAATCCGGCGAAATAAAGAGGGCATCTTTCCAGTCACACCCCACCCCAAGCAAAAGTTTGTGAGGAGAATGATTAAGTGGGCAAGGAAAAAAGACATGTGGTGAGACATGATTCGCCGAAACTTGTGTCGGCGCCCCCAAGAGACCCCCAGCGCGTCGGGTTTCACATGGGTTTGCCGGCGCTATTTTGACGTCCTAGGGGACGTTGGGGGCGTGGATGGGCCGTTTTTCGGTGAAAAGTGCCGTCCGAGTCTAAAACCGAGCCTAAAAAGGTGTCCTGGGGACGTCCTGGGGAGGCTAATGGAGATGCTCTTAACGAACACGAGCTTAACGAGCCAATCAGCTTATTAGTCCACCCCTATTCCTAATGAGTATCAAGCCCGTAATGAGGGGGTTTTAGGAGGTAAGTGTAATTTTCACGGAAAAGTTCAAAACGAATCTTAAACTTGTAAACGAAAGCTAAATCAAATCCTTAACTTCCAATTCCTAAAATCAGCACACCAAACTTTCTGATCCCGGACTATTTTGAACCTTGAAAGTGTTTAGCTGGTATTTGCTGACGTGCTAAGTCACATCGGGCTGGCCCATTAGCGCAGTCGCTTGCGAGCCTGGTCTGTTCTATTTATTCATTTTCTTTGTTTTTCATTGGTTTTTTGGCTTTCCTTTTCCCTTTGTTGCACTTTACCTTTTCACTGGTTTTTCTTTCTTCATCATACATTTTATTTTCTGTTGTGTCTTTCTTGATTTTATTTGTAGTTTTTTCTTTTTCTTTTTCTTTTTGTTTATTTGCCGGTTTTAATCGGTTTTATTATTTACAACTGTTTAAAAAATCAGACGATTTATCGCTAATCGGTGGGTAAACAATAAGATTATGCCATACCTTTTTTATTTATCGTTTGGACTAATTTATCGCTTTGACAAGCGATTTATCAGGGTTATATCGATAAATCATGCCCATTTTCTAGCACTATGTGTGCAAGAACTATGTTTATTTGTCTTTTGCAGACCTTGTTATGTAACATGAACATCTGTTTTGTTTGTAATTGTACAAGGATTCAAAGACAAAGAATAAACCTAACACTTTTGTCCAATTTTTTTGTTGAATATAGCATATTTTAGTGCTGAAAACCTGAGATTTGTAAAAAAATGGCCGATTAATAGTCAACCGATAAAATCGATTAATCGTCCAATTTCCAATTAATCTCTAATCCCAAGTCGACCGAGACGCTGGCGATAAGCGATATCCTCAATATTGTTATTTACACATGTCTATTTTTCCTCAATGCACAATGTACATTTTTAATGAACACATGAAACATTTTTTGATATAATTTGAGCATTTTTTAAATAAAATATGTACATTTTTAAAAAAATACATGTTTTCAACATTTTTAAATACACAGTAACATTTTACAATCTCTAAATGAGAATAAACATTTTATAAAACTACACGAACATTTGTTTACATTTTTTAAACATTTTAAAAATTGTATAACCCTTTTTTCAGTTACATGATGGTACGTGTATTCTTCTAAGGGTGACACATTTTTTACATTACGCAAAAATTATTTTTACATCCTATACCCTTTTTTGGATATCTCACAAACACATTTTGAAACTTGTGAACTTTTTTTGTATGTACGGAATATATTGTTGAATCACACATTCTCATTTTAACATTTCACATACAGTTTTTAAAACTCATGAAAAAAATTCGATGTCAAAACATTTTTGTTACTCATTTTTTAAGGTTTCAAAATTTGTCACCATTTAAATAAACAAAAAAATGCACTTTAAAAGTTTGTTCCCATTTTTTACAAAAAAATAGTATGTTTCAAATTGTGTTTGCCTTTTCAGAACTAATTGTGTTGAAAAAAATTATCCACTTTTTAAAAAAATATTCAGAATTAGTGTTCGCACTTTTTTGGATATTTCAAATATTGTTTACAGTTTGAAAATTTGGTTGCCCTTAAAAAATGTTTTCAATTCTCAACGCTGGGGTGTGCGGTTAAATTGTCTGGTCCTCTCATTATAGCACTAACAGCCATTGGTTCTAGTGGCTAGGGTGAGTAGTTCAACATCGCTAGGTTGCAAGTTCGATTTTTTCTCTTTTTCGGCATTTTTTTACATCACATGTTACGAAAAAGAAAACAAACTTGCTTCACGGCTGGTGGACCTGCCCAGTCAAGTCGCAGTCAACAATCTCAAGATTCGACCTCCCACGTCAACACTCACTCTTTGGGAACGCTCTCAAGGTTCAAAAATAGACCGGGATTAGAGGGATTAGAGAGTTTGGCACGTAGATTTCAGGGATTGAAAGTACAAGGTTTGACTTAGCTTTTGCCTATAAGTTCATGGTTTATTTTGGATTTTTTTCCAATTTTCACCTCAAAATGTATCTGAGTGGAGCGACAATTCTGTGAAGTGAAAATTGGTCTGATTAAGGACCTGAAATATACAATACTGGATCAATCTCTAGGCGCTTTCTCGCCTCACAAGGCATAGGTTTAGTTGGTATTGGCCTTTATTGATAATCTTTTTGACTAAATGATGTGACTAAAAGCATGCAGATACCAGGGTGACTAGTTTCGACCGTTGGGTAGGTATCGGGTGAAATTGGAGGAGATGTCACCCTAGGACTTTGCGTCAGATGCGGTTGGAGCCTGGAGGAGATGTCAATGATGGAATCCCGTTCTCCACCACATCCGAAAACGTTTTAACCGAGGAATATGGGTCTAGGCACGACATGGATGACATCAAGGGCATGTGATGATTCCAAATTTTTGATGCGATCAGAACTTCCACATCGGTGTCAAATGGACTAGTTCTTCACAACGTATCTGGTTCGCAAATTATGTATAGTAGGCCCCACTGCATTACGAGAGATGAAATTGCCACATCTATGCCCACCCCACATTGCTTGCACTAGTTTGCTGAGATTCATATCGTATTTTATTGCCTTGGTTAATTTGGCATTAGAGCACGAAATTCCCTAATTCCCATTTGTTTGGCTATGGCACTAGTCTACACATGTAATGGGGCTACCATAAGCCAAAACACAATTTGGCAATACTATCGGGCACACACTATGGGTGCCCTAATATCTCTCCCATCACCATTATGAGTTTGTTATTGTCGGTTCCACAATGTCGTTCACATGATTGACCGACTCAAAGGGGCCCACAAAGGTTGTAGCAAGTAGCAACCACGAATCATTGATCACGTGGCACCCTAACAAGACATGAAGAACTTGTCGGATCTGAACTTCTGGACGAATGCAGGTGGACTCAATGATGGCGGTTGCGTCAGTTATAATGATGGTAGAGTGCAAATCAATATTTACTTCGATCAAAATGATCTCAATCTATGAAATTTCAACTCGAAAAATGCCTAACGGGTTTTTGTAACCCAAATATTTGGAATGTATTAAGCAAGGAAATCATTACATCTGGAACATCCAGACGCAAGACACTTCCCAAATTATTTTTAAGAATATGAAAAACACAGTAAGATAAAACTAGCCATTTGAACCAAAATTGTTCGGAAAATTCAACCATCGTTGCCACCCCGAAGGGAATATGGAGGAGGTTAGGGTAACAACGAAAGTCACCCATGTAGACTTTCGGTGAAGCGGGGCGCAAGGGTGAGCAACACGTGGTAGTGATCCTAGTTTTCTTTTCTCTTTTTGCATTGTATTGCAATTTTGGCATATTGTAGCGAGTGTATTGTAACAGCGCGACACATGTACCGTAGAAAGCATACTGTAGCGCCCGCATTACACATATTGTAACATACATTGTAGCACCTACTACACATGTTCTATGGCACATGCATCACATGTGTGCTTCACGTACTTATCGAGTGCAACATAGGCGTGACCCACAACGAAGCACATGTTGCACTACACGTGGAGAGAAATTTTACGCTACATGAGAGCACACTACCTCCCGGAGGAGTACATGTATGTTACCCTATGTATTTTTTTTTGG